CGTGGCCTTGTGACGTGTGTGCATATATCAGCGATCAAGAAGACTCTCCAAAAGTGCCCATTTCTTGCACATGCAGTCTTCACTTTCTCTGCGAGTTTCGCAGCGCTTCCTCCTCCTTCTTCTCAAAGATTCGCTTATTGTGGCTATAAATTGTTGCAGAGGCCTCACTTAAAAAGAGAAAATCCACATTGATCGCCATCATAGAGCAATTAGATTCTTTGAGCTCAACACGGGGGCTAAGATGCCTTCCGTTGGTTGGGGGACATGGCAGGCTGATCCTGGTGTTGTTGCCAATGCCGTCACCACTGCCATCAAGGTACATTTCTACTTTCTGACTGCTCTATTTTCCCCCCTCATTTAAATCTTCGCCGCTTTTTACGTGGTTTAAAATGAGTAAGGGATCATATGAATGTAAATTTCTAAAACTTAAAAGGAATTGAATGTCATTTATTCTTTTTGTCTGATTTCTTGGCGGAACCTGATCTAACTGAAGAGTTATGAGTATGACTTCTGTTTGTGCAGGTTGGGTACTGGCACATCGATTGTGCTCAAGCTTACTACAATCAAGCAGAGGTATTAACAATTAATGATCAATGGTTTCTCTCTTTATGCTTTGTGTGAGCTATTTATTGATTAATCTGAATTCATATGGTTTTCGTAGATTGGTTCTGCCCTTAAGAAACTGTTTGATGAAGGAGTTGTGAAGCGTGAAGACTTATGGATCACCTCCAAACTCTGGTTTGTATCGTCTGGGAATTTCTGCCCAGCTTTTGACTCCCAGAATGCATGTTTTTGCCTATGGTTGCTGAACAGATATGCTCTATTTTTCCTGACAAACTCCAGGTGCGCAGATCATGCTCCTGAAGACGTACCAATTGCGTTGGACAAAACTTTGAAGGAATTGCAGCTTGACTACCTAGATCTCTATCTGGTATACTTTCTGGTTTTATATGTGAATTACATACTTGACGGTAATTGTAATTCACGGGGCCAATTGTTTTGGTTTAACGAAACGAAGATATGAGGTGATTTATGTAGATACACTGGCCGGTGAGGATGAAGAAGGGATCGGTAGGATTCAAGCCTGAGAATCTGACGGAAACGGACATAGGGAGTACGTGGAGGGCGATGGAAGCGGCGTACGACGCCGGCAAGGCGAGAGCGATCGGAGTGAGCAATTTCTCGAGGAAGAAGCTGAATGATCTGTTGCAAATGACGCGCGTCCCTCCTGCAGGTAATCAAGTGGAATGCCACCCTCAGTGGCAGCAGCCACAGCTCCATGAATTCTGTGCCTCCCATGGAGTTCACGTCTCTGTGAGTACAATTGCACCGACCCTAAATCCATAGCTCTAATTGATTAAAACGCATGTATGTGAAGGATGAGTGAAAAACAGCGTGAAAACGAAATCTACCTATACGTGTTGCCCACCCACCCAAAGACCAATAATTTGTTTTAAAATGATACATGGTGTGATTTATTATGAATTATACATTTTATACGGAGATATTGACAAAGATGATTTGTGTTGCAGGGATATTCACCACTGGGGTCTCCAGGAACAGCAGGGATCAAGGGTGACGGTCTTAAGCATCCAGTGATCAACATGGCGGCAGAGAAACGGGGGAAGAGTCCGGCTCAAGTGGCCCTTCGCTGGGGCCTCCAGGCAGGTCACAGCGTTCTCCGCAAGTGCACAAGTGAGACCAGAATCAAAGGAAACTTCGATGTCTTCGATTGGTCCATCCCGGAAGAACTAGTGGCCAAGTTCTCTGAGATTAAGCAGGCAAGTGGTGCTTCATTCATTTCTGAAGTTTAATACAGTGTGGTATGTAAAATGCTTGACCTTGGAATTAACACATGAAGTTCACTGGTGCAGGAAAGGCTAGTGAAGGGAACTGGATTTGTTCATGAGACACTTGGTTTCTACAAGACCATTGAAGAACGCTGGGATGGTGAACTGTGAGTGGGAAGCAAGATGCATGATTAACGGATGATTAATTGCAAGAGAAGGAGCAACATTTGCCTCCTAGGTGTCATCATTTTATCCTCTCTTGATGTTCTGAATGAGTTCTAGCTATTGGTTTTCTTTCATGTTGCAGTTCGCAATAGACAGAAAATAAGAATTTTTTGTTTTTGTAATGTCAAATATGTTCCGGCATCCTATTTGAGTTTGGCTGTTGTTTTTCTATCCCTTGTTATTATTTGGATTACCTTCCGTTCGAGTGGTATATATTAAATTGGTTGGTAATAAAACGGAGAACGAACACCTACATTCTATTGCCAATTAAAAAAAAAAAAACACTGCAATCATCAATGTTTCTTTTTGGATTAAAATAGTACAACCTCTCCTGCTTAGCATAAGAGTTAGCTTGATATAAGACTGCAATATATTTTGTCTTTCATATTTATTTATTTTTTCAAAGTAGTCTTTGTAATAATTGCACATATTAAATGTTTCATCAAATAAAACTTGATTAGTGAGAGTATTTTAAAAAAGACAACACCTATTTATTATAAAGGGAAAACCATATTAGAGGTACTTATACTTTTTTTCAATTTTCAATTTGGTACCTATGTGTTTTTTGTTTTTAACTAAATCTTTATTTTTCCTCTATTAACATCATTAATCCCTATGTAGAGACTAAAAATATCAATAGAACAAATAGGGCTGTGCAAAAAAACCCGGGACCCGGTCAACCCGGTCCAACCCGGACGAACCCGGACCGACCCGGTCTGTAAAAAACAACCTGAAGAGCAGACTAGACCAATCGGGTTAGACCAAAATACCGGGTAAGACTGGGTTAAAGACTGATGCATCAGACCATATAGTCTGGCCCGGTCCAGGTGGAATTTTATTACATATTCAAATATATGTGACTTAATAGAATGCAAAATATGAGCCCAAGCCCAAGTGCCCAATCTAATAATCCAAGACACTTTTCGTCTTTCTCCTTTTCAGTTTTCAATTTCCCTTTTGTGTGCCCTAACCTTTCTATTCTGCCGCTCTTTCCTCCTTTTTCTTTGAGGCTTCCATAGTTGCTGCGGTCTGCCGACTTGTTGTTCATCTTCGCTTCCATCAACATTCGATTGGCTTCTTCTTCAACATTAGAGTAGCTTTTTCTCCTCAAAAGGTTCGTTCGAAACTATTCTTTGGGACGCAACTGCCCGCTTCTGCCTTGTCTTTGTTCGGCCAATTTATAATCAGTTTTGTCATCTCCCACTTTTGATTATGATTCTTAAGTCGTGATTGCCTTTGTGTACGCATAATTAATCCCCCCAATTGTATTGTTATTTCCTTCACCTACGTCGTAAGTCGCAACCCAAGTTTCAATTCTAATGTGAAAAAAATTACATTTGTATTATATATATATGTGTGTGTATTTATAAGCTGTTTCTTTAATTTAAATCAGCATTGATAGTGTGAATTGAAGGGGAGGTTAAGGTCTCACATTATAGTCGGGACCAGTAGATAATTAGGAGCATATGACTAATAAAGACTCATAACTTGAATGCCTTAATCTTCTGATGAAGGTAGGATTTAAGTATGACTGTTATATGATTCCCTCTTTATTTGTTTGGTAGGTATATGATGATTTTTTTTTTTGGTAATGATGAAATTATGAACTTTTTCTGCGTTGAAAATATAGTTATTATATGAACACTCATTAATCAAATTCCAAATTGAATATTCAATTCCTACCAGTAAGTACTACATATCATTGGTCTTGGAACACCAATAGGGCAAGTTTTAATGATATTATGGTCCTGTATGTTTACCCGTCTATGCTATCTTCATATAAGTGCCTGCTAAATGCCTCTCACTATATAGCTAATTGCCTAATTCTTCGTCCTCTTTAGTCAATGGGTTGTCCTTGTTCGATGTTCAACAATCCTTGCAAATTATCACCAACTATCTTTGAATATATATATATTTATTAGACATTTATTCAATCAAAGTTTACTTTGACCTTCCTGTTATGATATATATGCTTACTTTTATTATCTTCCAGCTGTATTATCTTATATGTTCAATCTTTAATGCATGTTGCATGTTAGAAATGGTGGATGAAACTTCAGCTAGTACTGATCAATCCTTGTCTACACAAACACAATTAGTGGGGATTGGTGAAACTGAAATGCCCCCTCCTGATGAACCAGTACCTCCTCCTCCTACTACTACTACTGATCCTGTTTCTAATATTACACAAGATGAAGGTGGAGACAATGTGAGTAGAAAGAGAAAAGAGCCTGAGAAGAAAAGCACAAAATCACAAGTTTGGGAGCATTTTGTGAAGTTACCTTTAGAAGAAACAAATGGAGAAGTTAAGGCTGCTTGCAAATATTGTCATGCAATTTATGCTTGTGACCCAAATAAGCATGGCACAACATCTTTGAAGAGGCATTTTCCAAAATGTAACAAGAACCCAAACAGGGCTGACACAATACCAAAGCAATCAATGTTGAACTATGTGACACCAAGTGGGCAAAGGGGAAGCTTAGTCTCTCACGTTTTTAATAAAAAACGATGTAGAAGGGCATTGGCTGAATTTGTTATTTGTGATGAGATGCCATTTAGGATCGTTGAGAAGCATGGGTTTAGAACTTTTGTCAAAGAGCTAGAACCAAGATTTCGAATTCCATCCCGGACAACAGTTGCTAGAGATTGCTGGCAACTATACCTTGGAGAAATCAAGATCTTGAAAGAGGTGTTGAAAAAGTCTGCACATCGTGTTTCTTTAACAACTGATTGCTGGACATCCACTCAAAACTTTAGTTATTTGTGTTTGACTTGTCATTTTATTGATCCTGATTGGAAGTTGCATAAGAGGATATTGAATTTCTGCATGATTGAAAATCATAGGGGCGATACAATAGGGAAGACCATTGAGAAGTGCCTATTAGAGTGGGGAATAGAGAAGGTGTTTACCATAACCATGGACAATGCATCATCTAATGATACTGCCTTGTCATATTGAAAAAGCGGCTTAAGAATTGGAAAGGCATGATTTGTGGAGGTGACTACCTTCATCTTAGATGTTCTGCACATATACTTAACTTGGTGGTTAATGATGGGTTAAAGGAGTTAAAGAACAGCTTTGATTCAATCCGCAATGCAGTTAAATATGTTCGTTCTTCTCCAGCTCGTCTCCAAAAGTTCAAGAATATTGCTGAATTAGAGAAAGTGGACACCACCAGCCTTGTTTGTCTTGATGTTAATACTCGGTGGAATTCAACATATTTGATGTTGGAATCTGCTTTGAAATTTCAAAAGGCTTTTGAACGGTTGGAAGATGAAGATGATGATTATGAGGCATACTTTGCTAGAGGTTCCAGGAATGAAGGCCCTCCTAAAGCTAGTGATTGGAATAAGGCAAGAATGTTTCTTAAATTCTTGAAGGTGTTCTATGACATAACTCTAATGTTTTCAAGTTCACTAGATGTCACTTCTAACACTTGTTTCCACCAAATTGCTCTAATTCATGAGTTGTTGGAAGAGAACATTGTGAATGCCGATCCTTTACTTATGGAGATGTCCCTTAGCATGAGAAGTAAATATGAAAAATATTGGGGTCAAACAGAGAACATGAATCCTTTGCTCATTGTTGCTGTGATTTTGGATCCTCGCTACAAGCTTGCTTATGTATATCATATTTTTGATCAGCTTTTTCATGATGTGGAAGTTTGCATGGCCATGAAAATTAAGATTAGAGATGTTTTGTATCGCATGTTTGATGAGTATTCTGTGGGGCAAGCAACTAGTAGTACTTCAAGCAATGTTTCTTCTGTACCCCCAAGATCATCAACATCAACGATGCTACAAGGCCAAGGCAGTAGAGATCCAGGTCGCAGATGGTTGGCATCCCAGAAAGAAAAAAGCTCCTCAGACCCACAATCTGAATTAGATAGATATCTTTCATCTTCTTCAGCCGATGATACCCCTGTTGATGATGATTTTGATATATTAGCATGGTGGAGAGTCAATTCTAGTAAATATAAAATACTTTCTAGGATGGCACGTGATATCTTGGCTGTGCCAGTGTCTACAGTGGCCTCTGAATCAGCCTTTAGCACTGGAGGACGTATAGTGGACTCTTATAGGAGTTCACTATCACCAACAATGACTGAAGCACTTATCTGTGCCCAAAATTGGCTACTCCCTGGGAGATCTCTCTCTGAATTTACATCCATGCTTCAAGAGTTTGATAACTTTCAGGAAACAGAGGGTGTGGTGAAGACTGGTATGTGTTGTGATACCATTGATTATTTATATTTTATATAAATGCTCAAATAAATTTTAGTTGTTTGTAATCATTTCTTAGTGTATGTTGTATTGTAATGTCATATTTTTACCATGACTATTGTAATGTCATTGACTACTTATGTTTTATATACTTTTCAGATTATTCCAGTGTTACTGATGTTGGAGAGGATGTATGACTTTCAGCATTTCAGTTTCAGATATTTTGGACTTAGACTATAAAGTCTTTTGGTTGCTTGATGGTGATAGTTTGTTTTTTGACTACATGGCTGGATTTTTTTGACTGGTTTAATTGTGCAGGTTGATCTTTTGGTTAGTTAGTTAAAATTACCATATAGTTGGCTGATGATAATTAGTGCTTGACAGTGACTTTGTATGAATGGCTTGTCTAGCTAATTAGGATTGGTGTATAGCTTGACTCACCTAGATTTTTGTACAGGCAACGGACCTTTTAACTCCTACAGGTTAAGGACATATTTTGATATGTAGGTTCAATGAATATTGACTAATGATAATTTAAAGACAAGTTTGGTTATTCAAATCTTTTGTTCCTTGTTGTTTTCCCTTAATTTTCTCCTCATGTTGTCTCTTCTAGGATCCTGAATATGATCATGTTTAATATTTTTTTCTTATATGCAGAGGGCAGACCACATTATTGTCATATTATAGTAATAAGTTAATATTTATCTAGTGGAAAGGTTTAATGGAAAGGTTTAATTTTAGAATATCTACAACAAGATCAGCAAAGTAAATATGTCACAAAGGTTTTTTTTTTAAAAAAAAAACAGAGTAAATACGTATTAATTTTTTAAAAAAAAAAAAGTAGAATCAACCTGGACTAGTCCAGTAACCCGGTGGACCAAGTCCAACCCGGTCTTGGTCCCGGGTCTTACTGGACCGGACAAGACTACGGACCAAAAAGTCCAACCCGATCATTTTTCAGACCAGACTTCAGACAGGTACCAAACCCGGTCCAGTCCAGTCTTTGTGCAGCCCTAAGAACAAAGTTATAAGAGCTAATGTTGCTAAAATGATAAAATTAAATGTTTAATTAAAGGGAAAAAAAACACATAGGTACCAAATTAAAAATTGAGAGAAAGTATAGGTACCTTCAATATGGTTTTTCCTATTAAACAATTAACTTAACTAATTTTTTAATTTATTTAAATTAGTTAACTAGTTCTTTTATTAAGGATTGGGGGTAGTATTTTTTTCCCCTAAATCCCTTCTCCACCTTAAGAAAAAAAATATTATTATAATTGAATATACCTTGCCACCAGTTGCCTCTTGAAGTGATTCCTGAATCATCTTCCCCCGTCATTCTTGTTCTGTGAAAAATAATAAACCATATAAGGGGTACAAATAGCAGCGAATACCTACATCAACCCAAAGAGGAGCTGTTTATTTGCAATATGTTGATTTGAGTTGTACTCTATACAAAAGGGTATTGCAGTTTTACTAACATAATAATCCTTTCGTTTGAGAAATAAGCAGGCTAGTAGCCATTGCAAGCCAAGCCATTGACAAAATTAACTAAATAACTAAAAGAAATATTAAAAAAAAAACAGAATTTAAGAACAACGTACGTAAGAGCCAGCAAATTATGACTTGAAGCCGTCAAATTTGTGTCCATAGTATCCTATTTTATCTAGCTACCGTTTTTAAATTTTTAGATTGGGCTTTTAAGTTGACCTTTCTCTTATTGCTTTGAAAACACAACGGCACCAAAGGCGCACGCTTGGAACAATGGAAAATGCACTAAATGGGATATCATCTGCAAAGGAAAATACTACCTCTGGTCCTTAATATAAGACCCCATTTGACTTTTTGTTTGGTTCTAATTATAAGACCCCAATCCATTTTGTCTCTCATATTTATGCATTTTTTTTCCAAGATAGTTCTTCTAATAATGATAGTTCTAGTCAATACACTTAATTAACAAGGATATTTTAGGAATGACAACACTTTTTCATTACAAATAACTAACTTAACTTACTTCCTTAATCTCCTCAAATAAGTCAACTGGGTCTTATAATTAGGACCGAAGGTAGTAATAAGGAAAGCTCACAAATTAATCTCAATATTGGATACCGGATCAAGAACTTGTCGCTTCATGTATGAGAATGCGACAAAGCGCACACTTGCAAACAAAAGAAAGCTTTCCATAGTAATATCAAACAAGATGAGGATATAAGCACTGAGAATTATGAAAAACGGAGGTAAAAAGAAATGGGCAAGAACTATTATCTAATCTTAAATATAAGACATCATTTATAAACTACAAACGAGATTTTATATTTAGGATTGAAAATAATATCACGTGACTTGATCAATAATACCTAATATACAAATCCATGAGAAGAAAGCTTAAATCAGAGTAAACCTACCATGAGTTATGTTTAGGGTTTTTTCCTTCAACTTAGAACACAGATTTCCCCTAATACCTAAATCAACACAATCATGTAAAACTCTCTGAGAAGCTAATAGACTTGAAATGAATTTGATCATACTTGAATATAAGTTACAGATTCTAAAACAAGACGTCCAAAACAAGCTAAATCCAATCATTTAATAAACAATCTTCCATAGATGCCCATTAACCAAAAATAGAGAAGAAGCTCAAAAAATGAAATCAACCTTGATTGAGTCCAATGATTCGACATTTATGATTTTTCTTTACTGGGGAAAAGTATGCTCTTTGGTTATTTCTAATTTACTCAATAGGAATATATGTGAAAACATTACAGTCCTTACTAGAACTCTGAACATGCTCTTACAAAAAGGGATAACATATTTCTTAACCAAACTCTTCAAAAAATGGATAGTGGCTAATGTTGGGAAGAGAGACCATGTAGGGACGACCAAGCAAGAACATGTCAAGCGGAGCTGTTAAGTCATTACTGGTGGTGTCAACTCCATAACTGATCACGCCTTATGTTTTCTTTTCTAAACAATTTTTTTATCTTTTATTTAATTAAAAAACTCAGGCACCTATCATTTTTATAGTTACTGAGGGTTTAACGCATAATTTTCCTCTTTGAAAAACTAATCTCCCTTACAACCTTGCCTTATTTGGTTAGTTACTATCATAATCTCCATTAATTTAATATTACATCGTATCATTAATATAAAATCGAATTTGACATTCAATTTTATCTTAAATATAAGCGTCAAATCTACTTTGTCTTCTATGTTTATCCTTCTTTTTTTTTAAAAAAAAAAAGCCCTTACAGTAGTTATACATATTAAAAGTTTCATTAAATAGTAGTTTTAACTAATACGCATAATTAGCAAGAGTATTTTAAGAAAGAAAATACTTATTTATTACAAATAACTAACTTAACTAATTTTTGTAGTCTACTCAAATTAATCAACTAGCTGTTACATTAAGAATCAAAAGTAGTATTAGTGTTAAAATAAACATATAACTTTAGTTAAGAAATATATATCAAGTTTTTTAACTTAATTAATATTCTCTTCAATCCTTTATATAAGAACTCATTAGAAAGTAAGAGTTGGTTTTAAACGTAAAACCTTAATCTATTTTATTTTTATATGTATTATTTTTTTTAAAAAACTAATTTACTTAATTTATATGTGTGTGTGATCAACGTGCATGAGGCAATTATTTTGGATAAATAAATGGCTGCCTCAAATAAGAACTGAAAAACCAAAAGACATGATAGGCGTGCAAGCCAGGGACAGGAAATTGCCAGTTTCCATCTGGTGTGGTAGAACGTAGGTCATAAAAAAGCACCAAACTCCTTCTTACATGACTATAGTAACATATATACCATGCGTTTCAATTTTATTTTATTATATAACTTAGCAATTACTTTTTCAACCATAATCAAATTAATTAAATAGCTTTTATGTTAAGATTGAAATAATATTAGAAATATCTAAGTTGCAGGTAATTTCATCTAATATGGATCGAAACTCTCTTGAAACGAATGGTTGGGAAGCAAAATTTTTTTATAAGGGGAAATATGAAAACATTTCTCTCTCCCCGTCTCTCTCAATCATCTGTGACGCCCGTCATTAACATGTGAATAAATGTAAATACTCTACCCTCATACTGCATGACTGTTGGAAATATAGTTTTTCTGGGGGGCAATATGGGAAATGAAGTGTAACTAACTCGCTGTAATTAGCTTGCAAGTGTTTGCTTGTTGTATATGATTGGCTGTTACCATAATGATGGCCGTGACACTTTTTTTTTTTTTTAAAATAAGCTGGAAACAAACAAACATTACGTAACAACCTAACACACGGTCTTTGTCTTCATAGCACTAGGACTTAGGATCTGCAAACCTCTTGCTTCATTCAGGGATATCTTTGCAAGCTCATCTGCCATTTGGTTTGTTTCTCTACTAATGACTTGGCACTCGACTTGCCAATCCCATGCAATCATTGTCTGGATTTCTAGCATCACTCCCCTGTCGTCGTGTAGCGTATTATCACCTCTTGCAATGAGCTTCATCATAGCCTCTGATGAGTCACTTCTTAAAATAATGTCCCTCTCCCCAAGATCCCAGGCCCGTTTCAATCCTATTAAACAATCCCAAAGTTTGGTCGTCAAGTGATCACCATGGTCAAGGTTGTGGTCTTGGTCTTTTAGGGCTCCCCCACACGCTATCCTTCTCTGATAAGCTGAAAAAGCACCAGTCTGTCTCTTATGTCTACTTCATTTTGTTGGGTCACCAAGTGTTGGGGAGAGCTTATATTGATTCCCTTGAGCTTCGTTATCGTGGTGCGCATGCAGTTCAATATTGCAAGAGCTCTTGCTGTCATTGTGTTCAAATCGGTGACAATGTTAGAATGAGTAAAATCATTCCTAGCTTTCCATATGAGCCAAATAAGAATGACGAAAAGGCATTTCCATTCCTTCTCCATCTTCCCAACTTTTCCTCTCATATTCAAGCAAATCCATTCTTGAAGCTTACAATAGAAAAAACCGTGCTGAAGTTCCTGCTTGATGGTCGAATTCCAGAGTGCTTTGATACAAGCACCATCCTGAACGGCGCGGAGTTCGTCTTCCATTTCTTGATGGCAGCGATCGTAAAGGCCATTCTGGTGCAAGCCAAACTGATATTTGCGTTTATTCGTAATTAACCGCTTCTGGTAGAGTAGCCAGGCAAAGGTTTTCCATCCCTATGGTGTTTTCATTTTCCAGATACTCTTCCAGTTCTTGTGATCTAGATTATTAGGCGGATTGAGAGATTCATAAGCAGATTTAACTGTAAAGGGACCAATCTTATTCCAATTCCAAGGAGCACTCGTGTTGCCAAAACGATCAGAGACCTTTTATAAGCCGGATT